CATTGATGTTTCTCTCCCTCTCTCCTTTCCTTCCCCTCTAAAGATAAATAAATAAAATATTTTTTAAAATATTGAATAATTACAATGGAAAATAGTACCTTTTTCATTCATAGTGATATTAAACCTATTTTGAGTGATAGCTTATCGATCTCTGTGTGCCAGCTGCCATGCTAAATAAGTACTTAATCTCTATGAATTTATTTAATGCTTACAATGATTTTTTATTTTCCCATTTTTAACAGATGAAGAAACTAAGGCACAGAATAGTTAACTTGTGGAAGGTTGACAGCTAGTAAATCTTAGAGCCAGAACTGAAGCTAGACGGTTCAGTTACACTGGCTCCGTTTAAGTTCTGAACAATCATTAACTATACCTGCCCGTCTTGGTGAAGTCTGGGTGGAGTGATAATGGTCCTCCAGAGCCTCTGTGTGTTTCCCATCAGGGCGGCTGTACTAGAGCATGAGATGTTCACTCTGGTGTTAAGGATAAGGTAAGAGGGGTTGCTTGAACTTCAAAACAAACTTAATTTTTTTCACTTGCTGTAGAAGTTGGAAAAGTTGAAGCAACCTGAGAATCCTGGCTCTGAAACTGGTACAGGTTTTATAAGAAGGATGAGACTTCACTTTGTTCTCTTGTCTCCAGTGCTTTCAGTGCTGCTCAGCCTCCATCTACTTTCCAGTGGAGGGAAGGAGGCTGAAAATGGGAAGTGGAAGGCAGCAGAGTGGACTTCTCACTTTCCTAATTGCCCAACAACGTGGAGCACCTGTTCCGTAAGCAACCATATAGTAAATGGCAGCCACAATCCCAGGCTAGCTCAGCACGTAATGTAGCTGAAATACTAGGTGCTTGCAGCTGAATGTTTCTTAGCTTTTGTTATCATTACAGATATGTAGTATTTCAGTTAAATTATGGGCAAATAGGCTAGCCTGAGAATTTAGCCACATCGTTTATGTAAAAAAATGCTTTCCAAACAGCTAAGTCCACATATTTATCTTAGTGTAGAACCAACTTTATCTATAATCTAGATCACCTACCCAAATATTCTGCTTCAAGCACACTGTAAATAGCAATTATTGTTTTGATAGTAAAGTGAAAAACACCTCTAATGTGTTAGGGAATCATAGATACACTGTGACTGGGACCAAATTTTAATTAGCTAAGATAGTTAAAAATTTCTAGCAATACAAAAAAAATCATCTGCTTTTCATTTGTCATATATGAACTTTTATTTACCAGTCTACCTAAAACACTGAAATGTATTAATGTAGCTATCTGAACCACTTGTAGGTCTTCAGACTTGTGTGGCAAAAGGATTGATCATTATAATGTGCTTCAGGCTACAGGCTAGAATAATTCAAAGGAAATGTGCATTACTAATATGGTGAAGCTCATAAATTCTCAATGTCAGTTTGCCACTTGTGGCTGCAAATTGCAGTCAGGCTGGTTGGCTGGAGGCAAAAAGACTAGAGGTACATAATATTTCTGAGGTCTGAAGTTAGCAGTCACCAAAAACAAATATTGCCAGTCTTTTTCAGATTTCTCCATGAGATCAGTATCATCTAGTGCTGGCCAACCTGAGGGCAAGGCAGACTTGGTAATGACGAAACTTCAGATATAAGTGTGGATTCTGCCCATGTCAGTTCACCGCAGCCTCCTTTGTGGATTTGTAGCCTTTCTATATGATACACATTATTCCCGAAATACCTACTTAGTAGATATTTTTAATGCAAAAAATCTACTTGCTACCTCAGGTTTTATACCACAAAGGTAGAAATAGACCTTCTCTTACTCTGCATTGTTCTTCAACACTTCCATTGTTGAACTTCTGGGAAGACTCTCGTGACTCTGTACTTCATCACGATGGACAAGCCCAAAACACTTTTTTAGATTCCAGCTGGGATCTAAACTTACATCACACTGCACTCAGAAACTAAATGTCCAGCCTTGTGCTCCAGTGCACTTTTAAGAGTTTGACTTGCATGGTATATGAGCAACTAAAATTCTGGGCCCCCGGATTACTGCTGCGGTTGTGAACTCCAAATTAGAAATGTGTAAATAACTTTATAGTTCTACCATCAAGAAGTCCTAGTCCTGGGCCTTCCTAGCTTACAGCCGAGGAGCAACTTCAGGTCAATGCTCATTTTAAATGCTCAGTTTTTCATGTATAAACAGCACCCCAGATTTAAAATAAGTCTTCTATTACCTATACTTCTTAGAATTCTTTAGAAAAGATAGTTTCTTAGTGCTGAATCAAATACTTTTAAAACTTTTTATTATTAAAAATTCAAATACAGGGAAAAGGGTATAATAAATTCTTTCATGTTATTATCTATAGATCAGATATTTGTAAAGAAAGAAATAGCATTTTGTTTTTTCTGTCAACTGTGTAGCATGGTGATTTTCCAGACTTGAAGGTGGAGTTAGAAGTAGTATCATGAGACTCACGGAGAAAAATACATCAGGAGAGCATTTGCTCAGAGGAAGCAATAGAGAGAGGATCCCCCAGCCCTTCTACAACTTTAAGATTTATTGCTCTTTCTAGGGGCAAATCAAACTGAGTACAAGAGGACCCTAGGAACTAGTGTCATACAGAGTCCTTGTTCATAAGGCTGACAAAGACCGAACTGTAAACTTAGATAAATAAGTATAGAATAATAAATCTAAAGATGTTTTGATTCTCCTCTCTCCCCCCATGATTAGGTTATCAATTTCTGGAACTGTTTTAAATATCAACCCCTGCCACCAGTCTGTCCTTCTCTTTTTGGTGCCTTTAGTTTATTGGCATTTTAGCACCTGTTAGCCCACCCAGGTCAGCCCTTCAGAATATTTGGGAGAGACAAGGTGAGAGAGGGTGCGTTGGCTGTGATGGACAGGAAAGTGTAGGTAACCCCAGTTAGTCTCAACTCCTTTTTTAAAGTGAGAGTCTGTATGTATGTTTTCTTTTTTATATGTTAAGGAACATAAAAATATGACACTAAAGTATCATACTTCAATTTTTAAAACTGAAGAAAAATAAGTTTAAGATTACTGCCCTATATTTAGGCAGAAAGTTCAGTGGAAAACATTTTATTTATAAAGTAACCAAGAATATAAAATACCCAGGAATAAACAAATAATAAGAAACATGCAGGACCTTTATAAAGAAAGCAATTGAACTCCACAGAATGGTTACTACAAATACTGCAGCAAATGTGAAGAAATCTCATCTTAAATAAAAACAACTAAGTGTTGTGAAGAGTTATATTCCCCCTAGATTAACCCATATATTCAATGTAAACCCAATTAATATGGTTGAAATGCAAATGGCAAACTGAAAAGACATTTGAAACAACATAGTGCATAGATCTCAGAGTACTCGTAAGAATAAGTCAAGCAAAAAAAACAACCCAAAATCCGCAGTGCAACATACAGATCTTGTGCTGTGGAAATGTACACGTGAAACTCGTATGACCCCATGGAGCAATGTCACTCCAATGCATGTAATTAGAAATTTTTAAACACCAAGAGGCCTCAATGGAGAATCACAAAAGAGTATAAATACATAAATAAAGGGAAAGATCTTCAACCTCAGCAATATCTGAAGAAAAATAAGTAAAAGCGAGATACCATTTTTCATTTATGAGACTAGCAGTAATATTGGTGAAGGCGTAGGCAAATAAGTGCCATGGGAATATAAATTGCTGTTTTGTGGAGAACAGCTTTGCAAAAATGTCAAAATTTTGCATGCTTCTTAACCCAGAGAATTCTACTTTTAGGAATTTAAACCAAAAAGAATATTGGTCATAAGTACAGCTGTATTTGTAAAATGTATATTATGCAAGGGAAAAAAACTAAAAAAACCTCCTACCTAAATGCTCATCATTGGTTAAATAAAGTACCATGTGACCCATCCGTAAAAAGAACACTATGAAACCACTAAAGCAACCCAAGAGGCCGAGAAAGGGCCATGTAGGTCTACATTGTTTTGTTAGAGAAGGGTGTCTTCTATATGTTACAGAGATAAATTAATTGCTTTTAAGATAGCTGTTTAATAAAACTACAGGTATAGATAGAATGTGTTTAAAATATGAAATTAATCTATAAAATATAATAACAGTATATATTAGTGGATACATAGAGAATGTTCTAAAGTGTATTTGCTGAATGTCAACAGTGATCAGTCCAGGAAGACTTTTGCTGTTTTTTTGTTATTTACTATTTCTGCTTTTTCATCCTTGTTATAAAATATCTAATACCACATATGTACCATTTTCATAATAAGGAAAAACAAAACATGGGCTTCTCATGAAATCTGGCTCATTCTTTGTGGTTTCAGGAGAGGGCAGAGCACATCCACTAAGAGGATGACCTTTCAGAAGAGGATTCAGAATGAAAAAGTTAATGCTAGACCTTGTCTTCACAGCTGCCAAAGACCCACTGAAGGGCTTCCCCTGGGTGGGATGTGACTATGTCACTTCCATACTTGTTTTTAGAACACACCTGAATCATAAGGAACAGACTAAGTGGTAGGCTGGATGTGCAGAATAGTATTCTGGCACACTGAGTGCTAGACCAAATCATCTCTTGATCAGACCCGATGTAAGTCAGTTGTGACGAGGCAAGAAAAAGGAAACTGTGGAGTTGCCGTTTGTGAGTTCACGTCTGTTGCTCTCCATGTTCCTTGTCAGATTCTTTCTGGTTGACTCAGGGCTGGATCCAGGTGACCAACCGGCAGCTTTTTCTAAGGGCCGGTTCTGCTTTTTCTTGTTCCCCTTCTCTTCTTCACTTTCTAGGAGCCCTCAGCAGGCAAGTCAGAATTATTGTCCAGAGTGAGGGCTGTGTCCTCATCTGGGCTGCTGTATGTTTTTACAGATACCATACATCTGACCCTACCCTTGGGAGCCAGCATCATTGGAGCTGGGCTCCCCAAATTTCATTCTTTTTTCTCAAATGAAAAGGGTTTTTTTTTTTTACAGACTTCCGTCTAATGCTTTTTTTGAACTTACACTTTGATATCTCAGAAATCTGTCCCTGTGGGTGTTCACTTGGATTCTGAAAATGGAGCTGGGATGTTAAAGTGGTTTCTGAATAAATAATGAAACATGTGTTCAAAGTCTGCAACTCTTCCTTCTCCTTAACCACATCCTAGATAACCCGCCAATGGTGAGTGTCATTTGTGTGAACAGATTCTCTAGTTTTAGTTTTCAGGGCCTTTTTTTTTCATTCTAGCTGTCTGAATGATTAATGTGACTAGGAAAATACTGTTGACCCATTTAAATCATGTCAAACAACATCCATTGCTCATCTACATAATGAAATACACGCTGAACATTACATCTTAAGTGTGGGAGCCACTGAACTAAAAAGTAATGTTTTACTTATGTTGCTTATGAAATAAATTATAAGACATTAGGACTGACTATAGCACTAAATATGAAACTATTCAAATGGTAATTGTCAATGAAAATAACCTATAACTGAAACAGCTAATAGCTTTAGTTGCTAATTAGAGGAAGTGGAGGTGGTTGCATGCAACAGGGTAAGCTTTGAAAGTCTTTGTGTCAGAATGCGGTTTAATATTTGACTGTTATAGAATTTATTGGATATGGTTGAGTTTTTCCATTGTTAATCAGTGGTTGTGAAAATAACAGTTTGCTGAAAAATTAGAAAAATGGTTTGACATTTTTATCATGCTTTCATTAAATTGGTCCTTGAATAATTTTAAAGACAGCTAATTTATCGTTGAAACTATTTTGATCAATGATCAGATAACAAAGATAAGCTTTGACTACATTTGAAATAATTAAACTTTGTAAAGACGTCATTTACAGGGTGTTTAAATAAATGGAAAATTTTAAGGCACTGAATTTAGGTTATCAGGTTTCCATGGTTACACCTTTTCAAGTTATTTTGTGTATTGTGTAATATGTCTGTGAGTCACTGATAATTATTTGTTTTTTTGTTTGCTCTGTTAGCAGTTCTGTGTTTAGCTGAATTTAATACAGTTTGCATGGCTTACTTTGGTTTGTGTGTATTTTAGTGTTGGTGATTGACAGTGATTGAAGATTTCTTATGGAGTGCTTACCCTTTTTTTGTCATAAATGATGTATGTTGGTAGTGCTTGAAATGTAAATAAGTTCTTCCCATATCACTGTTTAATAAACAGGAATTTTTATGCCAAGAAGAATTCTTGGTGCATTTGAACAATAAGGCTTGGTAACTGCTAGGATATTTCTGTTAAATAGTTGCACACCGAGACAGATACGTTGAAATTCTTACAGACTTTAAAAGGTTACAGAACTTACCAACAAAAACAAAAGTTTATGGATAAGCACAACATTGACTAAACATTATTTAGTAACATAATAAAAATAGCAGTGTTCCTACCTGATCCTTAAAATTGTTTGTGGTAGCCCTGGCTGGTGTGGCTCAGTGGATGGAGCACAGGCTTTGAACCAAAGAGTCACTGGTTTGATTCCCAGTCAGGGCACTTGCCTAGGTTGCAGGCCAGGTCTCCAGTGGAGAGCATGCGAGAGGCAACTACACACTGATGTTTCTTTCCCTCTCTTTCTCCTTCCCTTCCCCTCTCTCTAAAAATAAATAAATAAAATCTTTTAAAAATTGTTCATGATAGTGAACATTATAGGGAATGTCTTCACTGCCAAGTGGAATCTTTCTATACCATGATTTCTCCATTTCACTCTTTCTACAAATATAAAAACTATTCTGTATACTAATATGTTTGGAAGGATATGATTCTTGAGAAAAGCTGGAGTCTCTTATGCCTGTGAATAGAAGAAGAGATTTTCCTTAGAACCTCACAATTAGCCATCCACATCTTAGGAAGGCTCCACCAAGACTCTCAGAAAAATTTCAGAATTGGGCTGTGCGTAATTTACTGAGTTTAAGCATTCTCTCTGTGCTCTACAATCATGAGATGCTGTCTAGTTTGTAAAGTATGTATACACCTGCAGTCTCATTTGATTATCAGGGTGGCCCTGTGATAAAGGCATTTAAGGTCCAGTGCTTTGGATGAAGTGATTTTTAAGTAGCAGCTCTGGGACCAATGCACTTCGTGAAGTACTTACTTTGTGAATTATCTAAAGCACACTCTGAAATTCAGGCTGGTTTCTACCTACTTAAAGTCCATTTTAGAGTGACCTTCTCCCACGGTCAGGCAACCAGTGGTCCTAATTACCATTTATCAAGTGCTTCCCTTGTGCCACTTTCCAGGCCTCCTGTCACACGACGATCCCAGCAATCCTGGGAGGAAGGTGTTTCTGTTAGCAGATGAGGAAGCTAAGGCTTAACTAACTTGTCCGAGCAAACCAACTAGTGCCAGAGAAGGAAACCAATTTAAACAAGAGCTCAAATACAATTAGGGAGGCGCCATTTTGAAGGAGAATCCCATTCACTAGCAAAATATGAAGTGTTTTGAATTCCACAACGTTTCCTGCTTTTTACCTCCAAATTGGCAATATTTTATGTAGGTATTTTGGGATTGGTTTTCTTTTTGTAACACTCTGGTAGAAGTATAGTTCCAAAAATATTCGGTACGTTTCACATGAGATAATAAACACATTTTAAATACTGTGCACATCAGAGATTTCACTATTATGGTTAGGTTGAAGACTTGAATCTAAAAATGAGATGACGCGTTGGTCATTTCACCAAGTGTGAATGATCTCTGTCAGCTCAGGTTTTCAAGTAAAATGGTGTTTTCAGTTATAAGAGGCTGCCTGCCTTGTACATTTAAAGAGTATACATTTTGTTAACTGTGTGGTGGTTGTTTTAATTTTTACTCTTCAGTACAAAAATAATGGTTTTATAGTTGAGTATATCTGAAAAAAAATACGAGGGCCAGTGTGTAAAGAGGCTTCTGTTGGACTCTTCTTTTAAGCCTGCGCCATTTTAATACATGGCACTTTTTGCATTCATGCTTGAAGCTATGGAGGGATTATTTATCTGTGTGGTTAACTAAGTCTACACAGTTGAGTTTGGATATAAAACTGTTTGTGAGAACATAACGGTAACAGTCCAAAAAGCTGCCTTCTGGTCATTTGGAATTTTGTCTTTTACTGAAGAAGCTACTGTGTGTTTTCTCATTATTTTTCTTGTGAAAATAGTACCTAATGCATGATCTTAGCTGCTCTTGTCTCTCATCTATGTAATCACAACTACAGACATTTGGAAATAGACTTTTCCTGGAGCTTTGGCTTTCTCATTTTAGGTTGTGATTGTTGACTGACCGAACGACCTACCCACCACTCCTGTGGGCTGGTTGCAGGGCAGAGACAAAACCCCACAGTTGTTGTGACAACCACTGTTTCTGCTAAAACGTTTTCTTTTTTTTTTTTCATGTCTTTCACTTGGAGTTATATAGTGAAAACATTCTCAGGAAAATATTAAGATCGTAGGTTTTGGGAGGTGGTTTTGGTGTTAATACTGCAGTTTGGCCAAAGCTCTGAGCTATTTTATACCGATTGTTTGCATAAATAACTTTAAGTAGCTCATGAAAAGAGGAGGGAAAAGAGAAACAGAAATAAATCTAACAATATAACTAAAGCATGTTGCATATAGCATTCAGTTGACACTATTGTAAGATGAAAACCAAAATTACACTCTTTTCAAATGCTTTAATACAATTGAAAAATATTCACATTAAAGCTGTTATTTTGATCATAAACTAAAAGTCCTAATGTCTTCTATTACTGAATATTTTTATCAAAAACACTAATATTTAATAGTATTTTCATGAAAGTAGTGTTTATGAATATGCTTTTGAAAAAATAAAGAAGGATTTTCTTAATATATCAATTATTTTAAACTTATGATGTTTTTATATGGACTTTCTCTAAAATTGAACCCTATGTGTGATTTCTGTGAAATTGTTCTTTCTGATTCTTACTTATGTGCTTGAATATAAATTTTGTTCTATTTTCCTCTTCTTTTCCTCTTCTTTAACCACAGTGTGTGAGGTAACAGGGAGTTTCTTTTTTTTCTGGAGACTTTGGAAAGTTGAAGTTTGCCAGATGTTCTGTGCTAACCCAGAAGTGTGTGTTCTCTGGGTCTCAGGACTGTGTGAAATTCTTTTTTGTTTCTTTGTTAGAACGACATTTGCTTTTGGTTCATTTCGGCGTTGTACTTCTGCTCTGATCAGAGCTCGTCTTTTATTCTGTATTTAAATGATATTACGGCATCCAGAAAATCTGGCAAAGAAAATGATATTTTGATGACATTTTTCACAGGGCATAACTAGAATGAATTATTACATTTTAACCATAGCCCTAATAAACAGCTCCTTTATTTCCCCTAAGAGAACACAATATTTCTTTGTCCATGAAGTTGCCTGAGTATATGTATTGTTGAAGTGCTAAAGAGCTGCTTTCTCTAAACTTTAGCTGAGAGACAGTAGGATTTCCTAAGCATATACTATTTCAGTGTGACTCAACATTTTATGATTATAAAGATGAATTTAGATTAAAATTTTGAAGTAAACATTTTTATCTTAAATGGATAAATTTCATACAATAGTCCTATTTTCTTATGGAAATTAATGATTTCTGTATAATTTCCACTTACCCACCAAATGATCTGCTTTTAGTTTTAGGCTTTGAGTTCTTCATTATAATCGTTGACACCCGTCCCCAGCTGTAGCTGAGCCAGCATAAATACATTGTTTTCTAGGCCCACAAATGTGAGTCTACTTTAGTAAGTAGGTATGTTTGTTAATCTGTGTTTCTAGAATAGGTGTCTCCCAAGAAGTGGGGGACTGCTTTTTGTTAAAATCATGGGTCCCAGGGTGCTAGCGTTGTACACTAATGAATCATCACATGTTATCCAATTAGCTTTTGTAAAGAAGCTAAATGAAGTATTTTCTTAAACCCTTTCTGAACTTGTCATTGATGTTATACTATATCAGTTGCTATTGATAAATTTTAAAAAGGAGGAGGGATGTGCACGGAGCCGACTTCCTGACGGAGCCTTGGGGAAGGTCATGTTTTGCCACGACCTGGGCATCATTCTTGAATGTTGTTATTATTGGAAGAGAATGCCCTCAGGCCACAGCTCTTCCTCTCCCCAGAAGTACTCCAGCTCTGGCTGACTTTCCAGCTCCTCTTCTCTGGAACCAGGACTCCCAGGCTCTGTTGTAATGGCTTGAT